GGTCAGGGGTGTCGGGCAGTGCCCCCACTCACCGTGACATCACACCAGTACTGCCCCCAGCGTGTGATGGGCTCCTCGGGCAGCCTCAGCGCGTGCGGCGGCACGGACACGCCGAGCTGGGACAGGGAACGCCGGGAATGAGCCCCAGACCGGGATCTGCCTCCCCAGCACAACCCCCTCAAAGCCTCAGGGCCCCCGCACAGCTCCAGCACCTGCACCAGCCACAACACCCCCGGGAACCCTCTGGGAACCCCAACCCCAGCACTGGGCCCCCACGTCCAGTCCCCGCGGCTCCAGCAAACCCTGGGAAGAGCCACTCACGTTCTTGAAGAAGTGCCGAGCCACGATCTCGTTGTTGAGCTCCCACTTGACGTTGTTCTTCATTCCCACCTCGAGCCGACAGCTCCGCAGGAATTTCAGGGTCTGGAAAAGCAGCAGGAAGGGGTTGGGAAGAGCCCTGAGCTCCAGGCATTCCCGCTGGGAAGGCAGAGAGGTCCTGAGGGGCTTGGGAAGGGGTGAAAGGAGGTCTGGGGGGCAGAGATGGATTCCTGGTGGCTGGACAAGTGGCTCCAGGATTCCTGGAATTCATGGATTTCTCTGGGATAACTCTTCACCTTCTCCCCACTCTGGGTTTGGCGCACTTCCACCTTCCCTTCCTGCTGCAGCTGCAAGGAAAAACAAGAAAAAAACCCCATGTATTGAGGAGGATAAATGGGAAAACCAAGGACTGAAGAGGATGGACAGGAAGCAACATTGGCTTCTCCCGACATCCCAAACCTTTCCGTGTTCCACAAAGGAATTCTTGGCAGAGCAAAGCTCTTCCTGTGATCACATCCCCCAGGTGCCATCAGATCCATCCCAGAAACCAAAGAAATGCAGATGGAGGCAGCCAGGGCTGATCCCAAAGCCCAGCAGAGCCCATAAGCCCCAACTCCTGCTCTTTCCCCAAGTCTTCCTGATTTCTAAGGGTCTGGAGAGGCTGGAAAAGGCCCTTTGGTGCCACTCACCTTCTCCTCCTCAAACCTGCGGAGGTTCTCTGGGGATGCATACACAGCCAGTCCCTGGGGAAGGAGCTTGTTCCTCCCTACTCTCTTGTCCACAGTCACCACGTCCCCTCGGTTCCCAAAGTCTGCAGGAAAGCGCTGCCATGAGCTGGGAATGCTGGGAATATCCCAGCGCTGCAGCCCCCCACAGCAGGTTGGGGGCTCTGCCTCAAGGGTGTTAGAGCAGAAGCATAAATTCCATGGAATTACTGGGACTGGGGGTCTGGAATGTTAGATCACCCAGCGGGCTGAGGGGGGAATCCCTGCTGCCTCTGGATTGCTGGGAGTGGGACCTAATGGATGAGGGGGAAACGGGACAAAAGAGGGGGAAAGGAATTCACTCTTCCCACTGGTGCCCTGGAAAAGGAAATTCCTGTGGGTTTTGGATCCCTAAGCTGAGGGGTGAATCCCTGTGCCACGGGATAACTGGGAATGGGCATAATGGGGGGAACCCTGCTTTTCCCTGTGTAGGTGAAAGAAAACCAGGTAAAATGGGGCAGACACTGAATTAATTCCCGTTCCTGCTGCCGTGGGAGGGAATTCCTTGGATTCTGGAACCCAAATCATTCCACAGCTACAGCATAACTGGGAATTGGACATGGGATGGGATACAGGAAAGGAACGGACGGGGAATTTTGCCTTTTCCCTGTGTGGACACCAGGCCAGCCTGGGGCAGAGAGGGCCAGGATAGGATCCAGGGGTGTTCCCGTGCCCAGGCACTCACTCTCCACGGGCTGTGTGAGCAGCAGCTGCATCTGCCCCCGCGGCAGGTGCTTGGTGTCCTGCACCAGGCGGAAGAT